TCTCTCTCTCTCTCTCTCTCTCTCTCTCTCTCTCTCTCTCTCTCTCAACCACACACACACAAATGAGCATCGCAGAGACAACCGACGATATGGAGATCAGAAGTGAAATGAATGGAAGTATGAAGATGAAGGACAGACACAAAGACTAGGTATAAGCCGAAGATCTGAAGAGAAATGCACAGGAGCATACCTTCCCTTGTACGCTACCGCCTGTAATAACATGCAAGTGGGCCGTTAAGGCACACGGGGATGTGGGCAGCTGCCGCTCAACCATAATCAACGTTTGGCAGCCTTGTACGTGTGAGGCATAGTAAGGAGTTGTTGCCCCGAAGAAACCCCAGCTAAACACAGTTCTAAACACTTCTATTATGATTCACGTTGCTTGCTAAAGAGGTGAAATTCTTTAGTTGTTGAGCTGGCTCAACTCGTATCTACTCATCTGGATGGAAAAGGGGCTGTTGTGGTGCAATTTTTAACGCGTGCACACACACACACACACACACACACACACACACACACACACACACACACACACACACACACACACACACATACACTACCAATACAGCGACTGCTGGTGAAAGTGTACCTTCACCACCACCTCCGTCACCTGCACCACCACCACCAGCCCCATCCCCACCACCACCAGCACCATCGCCATCGCTGCTACCATCATCATCGCCCCCGGCACCACCATCATCACCCCCGCCACCGCCATCACCGCCACCTCCCTTGCCAACATCTCCTACTACATGATCCCCGCAGTCATCTGCCTCCTTTCCCCTCTCTTCCTATTCCTTATCCTCAACTGCGCACGGCTCCCCTTTGTCATCGAACTCATCATCAACACATTCCCGTTGGCAGAGGCGTCCTTCATCAGATCAACCGTTACAGATGCCTCTTCGGCGAAGACGTTCCCCATCTCCATCGTGCCCCCTGCAGGGTTTAGAGATCTGCTGTATGGAATGACATCATCACTCTCAGTATGCACTAGCCAGGAATAGTACATAACCAGTCCTTGCTCGCAACCCTACGGAATGACATCGTCGCTCTCAAAATGCACTAGCCAGGAATAGTACATATCGAGTCCGATGTCCACAATGTGGTGATGATTTCTTTAGTGCTGCCAGCCTGCATGTGCACCAGACACGAGGGGCCAGCTACCAGTGCAGCATTTGCACGAGTAGCAGCCACTCTGAGCAACAAGCGTGGCTGATCACCTTCCGCTCCCTGCATCTGACCCACCCATTTCTTATCCACCTGGCCCTGCTTACTTCCCCGGCCCAATTGACAATGATTCACCTTCTGACCACATGATGAAGCCCCCGACTGAAGATGATCTCTCTCCGGAGCGCATACTATATCCAATGGAGTTAATACAGCCGGAGAAACCTGAAAGAAATAGTCAAGACAGCAATGAATCTTCACCTGTTGTGCAATCTACGGAATTGGATGAACCTTCCCCTGCCCCACAACCTGCAGAATCAGATGGTATCATAGTGCTACATTGAGGCCGCTTCGCGTGCTATGCCATTAAGCCGCCGACAACTGCGACCCTTATAGTGTTCCTAATTGTGCAGACGTTCTCCACTGGATAGAAGAAGAGCACTGTGCCCTCTGCCCAGAGGACAATAGTACTGCACCTGGTGTGAATATGAAAGTCCTGCGTAATAGTGTCTATGGCATTTATGGGTAGGCGACGACAACTCCGGGCTGCACCACAGAATCCACATGCCAGGCGTGGATTCAAATATTTGTGCGTACATCGTACATCGTCCAGGTCATTTCAGTGCTGTTAACCTGTTACCCTTGTGCCGTGTTTCATACCCCGACGGTCTGCAGCCCTTGACTGGTCGGCCCTACTGGTCGGCTGCAAAACGGTCGGCGGTCGGCAGGTATGCAACCCTGCTTTGCGGATAATTCATGGACCCCATGGGACAATGGCGGTAGGGTGTGCACTCAGCGGAAAATATTAACTCTTTCTATCACCAAGCAGTAGAATATCCTCGGTCTCTCTACAGCCTTCGGAGAGCAATCCGGCTGAACGACCTGCTTCCCCTGTGCATGGCCAGGCAGGGTCCCCTCCCTGTGTACACTGGACGGATTCTACCTCGGACAGTGAAGGAGCCTCTCCAGAGGACGGTGGCTGTGCCATCCCATTCTGTTGTCACACAGCTACAGTACGATTAGCATGCACACGGCATAGTTTCTGCTCCAAACACTTGAGGGGATGGTCCAGCCTCTACCGGGAAAACTGCGACCCCTTGTCTTGTACTCATCCCTCCCACCCCCTAATTACTTGCTGAGTATGTCTTGACATGCCATGCCTAAAAAGCTGTGAACGTCAGCCTGCTTTTCTGCTGACATGTCAGCAGCATGCCATGTTTCGTCAATGATTCCATATGCACTGCAATGTTTCGTCCACCTGCTTCGTCAGCCCACTTTCCTAACAACCTGTCATAGAAAGTATGGTTCTCTACTGCTTTGACTATCCCCGATGCCATCATCAACCACATCCTCTCTTAGCATGTCCCACATGCAATGTTGGGCATACACCTGCTGCAATCGCAGTCGGATGTCCTTCATCCTTGCTATACTAACAACAGATGCAGCAGCCTGAGGAGGAGAATAGACTATCATTTGAACCACCTACAGAGCGCTTTACTAAATGGGGGCGAGCTGTCGCATACGAAATCCTGCAGCAGCTAAACGCCCTGGCTTTGGATCAATCACCACTGTCGTCGTCTGCCTATAGAGCGGGAATAAACACTGGGGAAACCTGCCATTGCCCCTCCGTGATGACCCACCTGAGATTCAGCTAGCATGTGCGGGGCACTCATGTACGGCACCCTGATATGTTGTGTCCCATTTGTAGACGGGCTGGGAGCCTGGGAGGGCAATTCCTCTATGATTGTGGCCGGTGTGCCTCTGTGTTCCTAGCATGTAGGAGCCACGTGGCTTGTGACATCTCTCTACGGCATGCCATTCGATGCAGCAACTGCGACTGCGAGAATTGGATGTGGTCCTTCCACAATCCGCACCCGAACCGGTCCTGTCCGGTCTGTAGGCAACGGCTGCCGCTCAGTTCAAAATCTTATGCAACTCGAACACTGGCTGGACTCATGTGCCATTCTAGATCCTGGCCAATTTCGAAGTACACATTCATCAGCGGTGTGTTATGATCCTGGCCAATTTCGAAGTACACATTCATCAGAAAGTTCAATGCCGTCGAATTGCAAAAAGAAATGAATGAACTTGAGAGGAGAGAGAGGGAAAGATGACGAAGAAGAAGAAGAAGAAGAAGGTGAAAGAAAGAAGAAGAAGAAGATGTACACCAGCAAAGACCAATGAGAATTCCCTCCTTCAATAACCACTCTCCATCTCCCCCCCTCTTATTCAAACAAGAAATAATAATAATAATAATAATAATAATAATAATAATAATAATAATAATGTTGAATGGCTGAACCAGAATCAATGTCCGAATCCCTCTTCCACTGCAGGTATCACATGAGCTCCTCGGAGATAACATAGTCCAGATGTAACCGGTGTCCAACTGTGATGCAGCCGAGTATCAACCTCAACAATCTCCAAGTCTCCAATCAGGTAAGTACCACAGTCTCATATCACCGAAATCCAACTCTGATCTCTGTCCAACTGGATAGTCTCCAATCTGAAGAAGAAGAAGAAGAAGAAGAAGAAGGAGGAAGAGGAGAGAGAGAGAGAGGGGACTGGCAAGGGAGAGGAGGGGAGACCCTCCAAGCTCCCGATACCTCAGGCGGTACCGTCGTGCAAGCTCAGTCGCCCGCTGCTGCTCCGCTCGCTGCTGCGCTATGCTGCGCTCCTGCTTCAGCCCCTGCGCTAAGTTTAGCGCATCAAACAGTGCACTAGCACTGACCATGCCGTGCCGGTAGAGTTCCGGTAGGCCGATCCCACTACTGAGGCGGATACCGGTACTTATACCGGTGGGCAATGGTCTGGCCTCAATGCTGCGAGGCCAGGCCAGACCCTGAACCGTCCAGA